CTAACAGATATATCACTTTAGATACTGTTAAGTGATGGCTTCTCGGGGGATAACAGTAGAAGCCAAGTCCAAGCATGGTTTTCGTACAGATGAGGGGAGGAAGAATAATGGCAGGGCTATAGTGATAGTGGATTCAATAATAATTGGACAGACAGGCATTTCTGAGGCCACAAAAGAGACCCCAGGATAATATGTTGCCTTCCTGATACCAGGGCCAAGAAAGTTTCAAAGTAGCTGCAGGGCATTCTGTAGGAGAGGGGTAAAGGATAAACAACTATTGGTCGTATTGATGCCAATACAACCGATACAAGTTAAAAAGGAAGGGATGAGGTCCTACAGGTAGAATATGGGGAGTTAAGATGTAAGTTTAAAAAGTAAGACATCAAAAGGGGTAATCTCAGGATTACTACGGTGCAATGTTTTAGCAAGGGCAAGAGTAACAGGATATACAAGATGAATTTGTACAAAGCGTATAGGAGGGAGGGATTCAGATTCCTGGAACTTTGCAACAATTTCTGGGGAAAGTGGGACTGCTACAAGCAGGATAGGTTAAATTCGGGCATGCCAATATCCTCAGTAGAGTGTTTTCTACCAGTATTAGGGAGTGTCTAAACTATAATGGCAGCAGGGTGAAAAGGTGAGCATGGAGAAAAAAGACAGAAAAACAAGGTTAGAAACAAAATTCAAAAAGATAAGCCAAAGTGGAAACCAGAAAAAACACAGGAGAAAATAAATAGGGCCATAGTGCAAATCAAAGCTAAGATGACTAAGAAGGTTAAAAAGACAAGTCTAAAGGCATTGTGCCTTAATACAATAAAGTAAGTGTATTAGCACCACAAGTAGACATAAACGGTTCTGATGTAGTTACGATTATGCAGACATAGCTGCAGGGTGACTAAACATGAAAACTAAACATCCAGGGAGATTCATTAGTTAGAAAGGACAGATGAAAAAGGAAAAGAGGTGGGGTAACATTGCTAGCAAAGGAGGACAATGCAATAGTGAGAAAGGACATTAGCTTGGAAAAACATGATGTGAAATCTGTATGGGTGGTGAAAAGGGTCAGAAAATATTGTTAGGGGTTTTCTACAGTTCCATTACACAGAATTAGACATGTAAGGAAAGGCATTAAACAAGAAGTCGGAGATGGATGCGATAAAGGTACAACTGCAAGCACGGGTGACTTTAATTTATATATAGGTTGAACAAATCAAAGTAGCAATGATATTTCTACCCCAGTGGAGGACTGATCCCAAGGAGGGTCTGATCCTAGCCTTGGGTTCTTTATATGAGGGCTATCTGATGGACATAGAGGTTAGATGGCTCTTGGGCACTCCTGCTTTCCTTGCCTGCAAGGAGTGCTACAAAGACCCCTAACCTTCTCCCTGAAGCACTTCTTATCTACCTTCAACAGTTTCTGCCTCCATTAAACTCATAAGTGGGTTGAAGGTGGGTTTCAGATTTTAACATTTGACCCAACCCCAAACCCACTCAGTATTAAAATTGGCCTATCTTAAACTGACGCAGGAAAAAACACAGACTGGTAAGATACAAGAAAGTAAATACAGTAATACCAAAGTTCCTGTACTCCTCTGTGCCTTCAGGATAAGAAACAAGAAAATTGGAATCAGGGATTGAGTAATAGCCTGCTCATAGACTTGTGTATGAAAGATTCGTTAAAAACTGAGGGACAAATTTTCACCTATTGCAGCAAGAAATAGGAACTGGGACTGTTTCTGGATCCCGAACGTGGAAGGAAGCAGTCACCATTTGGAATATTGACTGGGCTTCTCTCTTAATTGGCATTGAAATTGATTTCCAATCCAGTGCAGGGCTGTAGGCAGGCTCTCAAATCTGGACAGCCCATCCAGCTTCAAAGGAGGAGTCAGCTGCAGTGAAGGTTAAGCAACTCTGAGCGTGTTTCTGCATGGAGGTCCCCTCGAGACAACTTAGTTTTAAAAAATCCTACTAAACAAGAGGAAAATCAGTCAGGCCTCCACTTTGTGGGGTGAATCCCTCTCGAGGGTGCTCTTGGATGCACCCGTACTTTTGTGGGTCTGCCTTGAGACCGACTGCCCAACCCCTTCAACCTTACCATCCACTTGTTGCTGGGTGCCCACTTCCAAAACCGTAGAACAGCCTCTCTGCCAGACCCTGAATCTGCCTTAGCTAGAAGATTCAATACTAGGAATAATGTTGGGAAGACATCAGCAGCATAGTGAAACTTCAGGAGAGTCAGAGGACAGAGGTGTCTGTCACTATGCAGAAGGTGCTGAGATAGCTGATAAAGGTCTGAAAGTAGATAAATCACCGAGACAAAATGGACTACATCCCAGAGTTTTGAAGGAGATAGTTATGGAGATCGGGGGCATGGATGGCGATCTTTCAGGAATTACTAGAGTCAGGGAGGATCCCTAGGACTGGAAATGGCTGATATAATATCCCTGTTTAAGGAAGGGAGGCAAAAGACAGGAAATTGGTTGGTTAGCTTCACCTAGGTCATCGGTAAGATTTTAGATTCCATTATTAAAGATGAGGTTACAGAGGACTTGGAAGTACATAGTAAAATAGGGGACGTAAAACTCAGCACGCAACAGCGCCCCCACCCCCATCACAAATGCACTGTATCAGTTCAATTTTTCTGTCAAAATGAAGTACTTCTCTCTCCATAGAATGATATAATTTGGAACAGATAATAAAACAAACCATGTCTAAATTTTTAACAGCTGTAATCTGAGATTAAAATCAGATGTGAAAGCCTGTTTCAAAATCCCTGTTATAAAGGGGAAGTTGGCCCCCCTCTGATAACGGAAACCAAAACACCCAGAGAGGTGTGCCTCATCCTATAATCTGTTAAAAGAAGTGTGTAAGGTGTGAAAAGCCTCTCACCCCAATCTATTATAAAGGAGTGGCTAAATGAGGTTGTTGACCTGCTCGCCGAGCTGGCTTGTTTTTGTTCAAGTCTGGCAATTTTTAGTATGTTACGCCCATAGTTGTTTAAAGTATTGGCAAAGATCTGTAGCTCAGCTTGTGGATGAGGTTTGGCAAAGATCTGTAGCTCTGGTTGTGGATGAGGTTAAATGATTAAGTGGTTAAATGAAATAAACTCCTGACACTCACTCTATAATCAACAAGTAGCAATTTATTTATTTAACTCACAGTGAATAAATTAACTGAACTATTAACAAACTGAACACTTCACCTCTAACTACTAACTATTCCCGAATAAAACAAAATTCTAATGATATACTGTTCCAATAAATATAAGTCCCACTTATACAAGACAAAATAAAAAAGAAATTAGAACATTGTTGCTTGAAATTACAGCCAGGTTATATCTTCTGGAATGTTCTGTGTATTCTCCAATGATTTTCTGTCAGAAATATTAACTAGGAGTGCCACTGCATCTTTATTTCGATGATGCTTTCTCTAAGAGCTGAGACAGCTGATCTCTTAGCATATGGTAGTTCACTCTTTGCTGCTTTTGCAACTGTCCCCATCTTTTGTACCCTTGATGACATATGAGTTTCTTCCAATAGGATTGGTCCTATGTTGTCAAAACCATCAGATTTAAATTCAATTGGCTTGTAGTATCTAAGTGCCTAGTTTAAATTAATTGTATAAATCAAAACTTTTTGTCTTGATAACAAAAAAAACTGCGGCCTGGCCTGCTAACCATCCAGCCTTTTGATGCAAATGTTATAATTCGGATGATCTGTATAACTGTAAACCCACAAGCTGCTCACATACTTTTTTAAAAAAAAATCCAAGCCTAGAAAAAGCACATCACCTTTTGAAGGGACCACATACTTCTTCCCCTCTATCATTTTATAAACATCAATATCTTACAAACACCAAATTCTAACATCCTGCCTCCCAATCCACAAGTACTGTACTGCAACATCCCCTTTATGAATCTTGTGTATAACATGCACTTTAAGCATTAGGCTTGCTCTTGTCACATTTTCCTTCTGATCCATTGTGAGCATCATCATGGGTGAATTTTTCTGTATGTATAGAAAGATCAAATTGCCTAGCCTGTTTCCCATTGGTCTGTTGTAACATCTTGCCTCAGTAGATTTTGTTATCATCTAATTCCTGTCCTGTTGGAACCTTCAATGGACTTTTCTGCAGGTTGATATCACCTCTAGGCTTTGGTTTGACTGACCTTTGACAAGTCCTGCCTCCTAATCTGGAATCCACCATCAGATCTTGGACTTTTCCAGTGCTGCTTTGGTCCAATTTATATCCCCCTGATGATTATAGTAAAGTTCCAAAAATATTATGCTCTCCACAGAAATGCACTGTTTAAAAAATCCTGTTTCATAAAGTGTTGAAATGCAGACCCAGAGTTGTAATTAAAAACGTATTACTAATGGGATTTTTGTTGTACCATATTGAGTTACCACAGTCTTAATTCAGACAGTCAGGTGTTGAAGGAGAAATTTTTACATGCTTTAATACACATTTATTTACAGGAATATACATTACTAATATGCACTTCCTCACCCGCATAACTTCTCCTAGGGACAAAAATTAGTGAAAAGAAATGGTAATACTTGGAAATTAGTGTAATGATCACTCTGCAGCTCCATTTTGAAATGTGCAAAATGAGTCAAACCAACATATGCCATTTAGAAGTTTTACTAGATTTTCTTATTGGGATAGTTTCAGCCTGTTCCCTTTTATAGAAACACAAGTAAATCTACAGTTAATACTGACCACCATATGATTAAACATCTCATAAGCCTTAGCATCCTGTCATTCCTTCCCCAACACCCACTCATATACATCTTTCTGATCCTGAGCTCTGAAATCAGTGTGTCTGCTCCTGGAATTGACCAAAATGTTAAGCCTACTCCAAGTCATTGTGCTGCCTACTCAATCCTTCCTGACTGTCATATTTCCTGTGCAGGGCAGGAAAGGATGCCTGTGGCATTGACTCAGGCTGGATCTAGGTTATGCTTATATTTCTCCCCCTCTCTTATTTCCCCAGCAGGACAAGATCGGAATGGGGGAGTCTTAGTTGAAAGAAAGAGAAGAGAAAATGCAGAAAGAGGAAATGTGAAGTCTTTGAAAGGTAAACTTCAAGGTGGACATACAGAAAAAGAACAAGAAAGACATAATGGAAGATACATGCAGAGATTAACTGCACCAAAAGATCCAATTCCACAATGCTGGAAATTTTTTTTTCACGGCACAGCTGAGCAGAACTTGAGTGAAGAGTTGACCTTGCCATTTGTGGTGAGGTCAGTGATCTCTGATTATTTACATTCACTCCTTGAACAGGTAGAAGAAGATACGGGCCAGAAGCCTTACCTCTTCAAAACAAATAGTTCACACGTTTTCTTCCTTTTTTTTCTGTTTCAGACTGTGGAAGCATCAGACATTGAGGTAATTAAAATTTCTGCAGTGATTTCATTGTCAGTGAAGCAAAATTCTCAGCACTAAAGCCTGACTCACACCTTTTCCACACCCTGCCAGTATATCATACATGCTTAAAATTTTTGACCTGGTAAAAGCGTTAAGCTTATTTCAAGTACAAGTGATTTTGCAATTAAGTAACAAGAGCTCCCTGTCAATTAGATGCCAATGCCTGCCACTAGGTGCCACTCAGTAGAAATTGACACTGCCAGTCTCACGCAGTGAGTAACATTGACAGCAGTGTTTATGGAAAAATCCACAATCCCATCTGCCCTGTCCAGGGAGCCAAAGAGGCCTTCAGAGAGAAATAAAAAGGACTATAGCCCAGCAGTGCGGTGTCAGAAGCAGAAAGGAGCAGGCTTCCCCACCAGATGGTTACTCGTTCGGGTCTCAGTGCTGTCTCTCAAACCCAGCAGCCAGACTGGGATGTGTTCCATCAACTCTCAGCTGGTTACACAGCCTTCTGGATCAGAAACATTCCATCTTGAGTTGGGAAGACATGAACATTTCTTGCTTAATAAGCTAAGCTTCCTGTAGCCAGATGGCCGCAACAACCTGATTCATCTTGGCTCTTTCAGCTTTTATAAAGTTGCAGGAGCTTATACCCATTGCAGAAAGTGAATAGAATGGTATAAAGCTTTTTTTTTAAAAAGGATGTAATACTGATTAGATTTAGAACACAGCCCAGGGCTAATTCGTACTTAAGGGCAAGAATCCCTTTTTGTCTGTTTCTGATATTGTATTATCACTTTGAATCTTTCAACTAAAAGCAATGTGACACATGTGTAAGCAGTCTTCATAGTAAATTAGTGTACATACATGAATCACGCGTACACGAATGGTGTGCAATGTGTCTGTATTTTGAGTGCACGTGAATAAATAAGGCACATTTTGGTTTGTATGGACTCATGCAGCGTATGTGTGTATGTACATCATGGTTAGTATATGTGCCTTCTGCATGTGTGTTTGCTCAGAAACATGAGTGATTTGGAGCATCCGAGAGCTGTAAATTTTGAAGCCTTGGAGCATAAACTGTGAGATCAGATAGCTGAAAGCTGTACATCCACACATTAGGATTATTTGATTGCATCGGATCTTTGGCTGCATTATAAGTCTGTGATGTGTTCCCAGCCTGGATGTAGTTGGCTGCAGGAGGTTTACAGAATGGAAACTTACAGGAGAAGGGGTGCCACCGCAATTCTTCAAGGAGCTGCCACAAGGGAAGTTAATTTTGCTGGCAATAGGAATGTCAAAGGCAGCAAGTACACACAGCACGGCAATGCAATGGCAGTGCCCATGAGGAATGCAAGCTGTGCCTTCAATACACAGGCCAAAGGAGCCATGAACTGTTTACCACTGAAGGCTACCCTTCAGAAGACCAACATGCCCCACCTGCAACCTGGCAAACAATGAAGAAATTCTGTCAAGGCAGCACCACACATGAATTGATGGATTTTTAAAGTGTTCAGCACCTTCACAACCTGTTAGACTTCAAAGCTACTGGTAAAGCAATAAGACACCAGATTGGCTAGAATGTTCGCAGAGAGAAATAACTTGCATTTATGTAGCACCTTTCATAAGCCAGGATATCTCAAAACACTCCCTAAGTGTGCTTGCTGTTGCTATGGAGGGAATTGCGACAGCCAATATGCACACAGCAAGACCCCATCACAGCAGCAACATAAATGACCAGATTATCTGCTTTTACAGATTTTCTTTGAGGGCTAATAATAGCCAGGACACCAGGGAGAGCCCTCCTGCTTGCCTTTGAAAGAGTTTCATGTGGTCTTTTCTGTATGCTTATAGGGGCAGTCTATGAATTGCATGTGCATATGTTGCTTATGCGTATGGGGTGAAAATAAGATTGGCCTCAGACATATCTCATACTATCATAACTATAATATTACAATAACAACACTATTCACTCAGTTTTTCTTTCTTTTGTTCTTTTTTTTACAGTTGCAACCAGACCTGCTGAGTTTCTCCTGTTGCAAAGTTGGGTAGAGTACTTGTGTATTGGAAGGCAGGATGTTACAATTTGATGTTCATAAAATGATAGGAGGCAAAGAGTGCATGGCTCCTTTGAAAGATGACTTCTGTGCTTAGAGATTTTTTAAAAAGTCTATGGGCAGCTTGTGGGCTGCAGTTACGAAGAGAGCTCTTGAATTTGAAATATTTGTATCAAAGGCTCTATGGTTAGCAATTCAGGCAGCTGTTTTGTTTTGTTAGCAAGGCAACCAGTTTGAATATCAGCCAATTAATTTAAACCAGGCACTTACAGACTAAAAATCAATTACATTTAAATCTGATGGTTTTGACAACATAGGACCAATCCTATTGTAAGAAATTGATATGTCATCAAGGATATAAAAAGTTTGGAAATTTGGAAAATCGGGTGAAAGCAACTGCCATCCAATTGAGTTAACAACCATCAGCTCTAAAGAGAAAATCACTGACTCTCACAGAATTCTCTAAGCTCTCAGAGTAACTATCATCTAACTAAAGGTACAGCTGCACTCTTAGCTAATATTCCTGACACAAGAATTTGACGGAGAAAGGTGTTCCTGACTGAAGATCGGTAGAGAAGGCACAGAACATTTGGGAAGTTTTTTTTATTATTTTGGTTTATATAAGTGGGACTTGTATTTATTGGAACAGTGTACTATTAGAATTTTGTTTTATTCAGGAATAGTTAGTAGTTAAGGGGGAATTGTTCGGTTTGTTAACAGTTCAGTTAATTTGTTCACTGTTAGACAAATAAATTGTTACTTGTTGATTATAGAATGAGTAATGGAGTTCATTTCATTTAACTACTCCTCAACAACAGCTTGAGGGTGAGAAACAGGTTATACTACTTTTCACATGTCTTTTAACAGGTTATTTGGTGAGGTGAGCCTCCCTGGGTGTTTCATTTTTAGTTATCGGTGGTGGTGGGGGCGGGGGGAGGCGGTGGGGGGGGGGGGGGGGGGGGGGGTCGACCTCTGCTTTAAAGCACAACAGCACTTTCAGTTTCTAACATAACTACCATTGATACTGAAAATCAGAATTCTCTTGGCTGAGACTCTGCAAGCATTCTGCTCCCAAGGAACTCCCAAGGTTGAGAATCACCCTCTTTCAATGAGAACCTGATGCTTAGAAGTATATACAAGCCATTGAAGGCATTAAGGCAGGCTGAGATGGTGTGAATAAGGCATATGTGATCCTTTACAAATACAAGTGAAAAAGTACAAAAACAAGAAAGTTATGGAGAAACTTTATTCAATACCAGTTCAATAGAATTTTGTCTTCTTGCTATCATATTTGATGAAGAATGTGAAGGCTTTAATGAGGATGCAGATTTCCAAGGTAGATTTTCAGGATGAAGGATTGCAGTTACATGAAACATTGATGAAACTCCTCCCTAGCGAAGAAAGGGTTGAGAGCAGTTTTGGTGAAGTTGTTCAAAATCATGAGAAATTGGAGCTAGATAGGGAGAAACAGTTTCCATTGACAGAAGAGTCAAGAACCAGAGGAATCAATTTTAAGTGAATGGCTATCTTGGATCACAGAGTGTATCCAAGCAGTTCTTTTCGGATTCGGTTAAATGTGGTTAAGAGAAGGCTCGACAACAGCAATTTACTTAAATACTAACATTTATTGAGTAATAATAAAAGACGAGAAAAGAAAGGAACATTTATTAAGTAAATAAAAAGAAAAAAGAGGTTAAAAACAATAATAAGCCTCACGCCCTTCTGCCCGCCAGGGATCCCTCAATCGATGGCTGATCTAGAGGCTGAGGTTGTTCCTGGCACCATTCGCGATCCCGGTCTGAGGTCAAGTCCAGCGACTTAGAACGAAACTTTCTCTCTTCTACGGTGTAACAAACAGCCAGGCACAAAAAGCAACTACAGAAAAACATGTTGATTGTGCTGGCTTCAACAGGAACGCTCACAGGACTCATTCAAGGTCATGCTGCTGTCGAATATCATCAACAAGTTTAGCCCTTCAGCCCATTCTATGCAATGGCAAAAGAACTGAAGGTGAAACATTCTAATCTTTCTAACTGTGATTTAAGAAAGAAATCTTTTAACTGCAGGTGTGTGGTATCTGAAATGCACTACTTGTGAATGTTGTGAAGATGGATTTAATCACAGCTTTCAAAGAGAATTGGATTATTTTCAGAATAGAAACAAATTCAATGGCTATGGGAATAGGATGGGGTTCCCTTGCATAGAGCCAAATGGCCTATTTCTAAGTTGTAGTTATCCTATAGTCATAGGGAAGACATGGGGCCGCATCTTAGATGTTTTGACAAAATATCATTTTTGTTGATTTTGCCGAGGGTTTCTCTGTGCGAGACATTGTGAGTTTTCATAGAAATCATCATCATAGAATCCCTACAGTGTGGAAACAGGCCCTTCGGCCCGACGAGTCCACACCGACACTGAAAGCATCCCACCCAGACCCATTCCCCTAATCTACACATCCCTGGACGCTACAGGCAATTTAGCATGGCCAATCCACCTAGCCTGCACATCTTTGGACTGTGGGAGGAAACCGGAGCACCCGGAGGAAACTCACACAGACACGGGGAGAATGTGCAAACTCCACACAGACAGTTACCCAAGGGTGGAATCGAACCCAAGTCCCTGGCGCTGTGAGGCAGCAGTGCTAACCACTGAGCCACCATTTCATTAGCTACCTAACACACTCCCATGTCAACCCTCTCATATAATGTGAGCCCATTTATTCCGCTCACTGTAGCAGGAGAAACTCGCCACTGCCAGGATACCCTGGTTTGCCCTTGCATCCATAGTATTGTTGCCATCTTTAAAAGGCTGTTTTGTACTTGGTCAGGTGTTGGCAGTCCTGAGCTGCCCTACATGGTTGATACTTGCCCCAGACATGGCAGAGATGAGAAAGTTGGTGCTTTTGGAGAGGGACCGAGAGAACCTGCTGGAGGGGTGGTACAGAGAGAGCTGCCTTCTTCACTCAGGACCACGTGGGACTAGTTTAGTTTGGGATAATGGTCAGTGTGGATTGATTGGAATGAAGGGTCTGTTTCTGTGCTGTATGACTCTATGACCATCAGAGGAAGCTACAACAGCAGACCCTGCCAGTTTGTTCCAATGTTTCCACTCAGGTTAGTGGTCTTAGCCATTTGGAGAAGTGTAGGAAGGAAGTTAGTGACCTATACAGTACCATTAGGTCAAGTGCTATCATTTTAGCTCTGCTTCTGCACCTACCTCCCACCAAGGTTCATGCTGTACCACTCTCACTATTGCATGCATCATCTTCCTTCACTCACTGTCACCTACTCCAACCCTCCACACTACTATCCCTGAATGGCCTCTTCTCTGCCTACTCACTTACTTGAGCCACTTCAGCACGTTTTCCCACTTGCATCAGCATTAGCAACTGTGTCAATCTATTCAATCCCACATTCACTCTCAGTGCAGGTGAAAATGGCAGAAAGTGCCAAGACAGATAGTAGAATAACTAACATTCAGCTCCTCACCTTCGACAAGGAGAGGATCCTGATCCTAACCACTCTGGGTGGTTGATTGACTGTAACAAGTCCCTGGACTGATGTTGGAGGCTGCCCTTGAAAGAGTAAGCCAGGAATTCCTGACTGAAGGGTTTCTCCCTTGACTTGACGGAGGACAACTCCTCTTCAACTTTCAATGTGGCTATTTAGTTATAGCACATGCAGTGGGTTTGTCATGTAAGCTTCTCGCACTTGGTGCAGGTGTGAGGTTGACACAGCACATTGCTGTACAGCAACATGTCCGCTCCCTTGACTGGACACTGCTGACAACCATGTTCAGCTGTCTGGCTTTGTGTCTTGCACTAAAAGGCAAGACAAGACAGAAGTACTGTGAGTCTGGTTACTCTGGCTGAGGGGGCAAAGTGCAAAAAAGTAAGGCACGGCAAGGATGCTGGGAGAATCCAGATAAGCTCAAAATGTGTAAAGTGCTAATAGAGCAGCTCCAAGTTGCAACCTGGTCCAGTCCACAAACTGGGCACCTGTGCACACAATGTCCGTGCATCAGGAATTTCTCAGCATTTGAGTCTGTGTAAAGGAGAGTACGAGAGACCAGGATGAGGTTTCATTTTGCTGCATTTTTGAGATCATTAAAGTGACATTTAAGTAGCTTGACACCATTACAGGAGAAAGATGCCTATATGGTTGGCACGCATTTAGTTTATTACAGATACACTCCCTCAACCATCAACACATTATGACTTCAGTGACACTCTGCAACAGCTTGCCAAGGCTTCTCAACACTTCCCAAACCTGCATTCTCCACCTGAAAGAATAAGAGCAGCAAGCATAGGGAAAGACCACCATTTCCTTTTACTCTCCATATCATACATTGGCCAGATATGAAAACTATCACCATTCCTTTATCACTATTGCAACTCCCTGCCTAACAGCAAAGTGGGAACATCTTCATCACTCCAACTGCAGCAGTTTACCATTGCAATGGAAATTTCGGATGGGTATTAAATTCTGACCTTGCCATATCCTAAGGGCAACTAAGGACAGCCAGCAATACCCATATCCCATGAGCGAATAAAAAAAAACCCATGTTGCCTTTTGTGGGAAATTTACCAAATCTGTACTTCAGGAAATCCGTACTATTCAGCAGCTAATGAAACCCTGCACGGTTTGTTAGGCAGAAAGTTCATGCAGTGTATACTTTTGTATATGTTGTGGATTAGGCATGTATTTATATGTGTGTTTATATATATTCATATATAAATATACACACTTGTATATAGATACACACATGACTATATATTTTATATGTATTCCTATCTGTGATAGAGAATTATTTTGCTATCTGCTGCCTTTCTAACTCTCCATCACACCTCTAGGGAGGCCAATCTGAAGTGAAACCCTGAAGCACAAGCCTCCTGGGATAGGTCTCAGCTGGGCCTGAACCAAGTAAGGTCCACAAACCCCAGATGTGGCAGGATCAGCACCAAACTTGACAGCTGCACTTCACAGTGGTATTGAACCCAAGGAATCAATGGTCAATAATCTGAAGCACTTCACCCGAAACACAGGGAAGATAAGAAAAGCTGGAGCTTCTGATTGAAGTCAGGGGCCCTGGAAAAGTGTTACCTCAAAATTTGGAGCCTCCAGGAGCAAGTTGAAGATCACCACATAGTTGTGAGCAGAATCATTTTATATATCATTAAATAATGTTGTGATCCGCGATAATGATTATCAAACGCATTTCTTTCACAGCAGTGAAGTAGGAACAAATCAGAATACAAAGAATTAAACCTCCTGTATGAGAGATAAAACACTGACTAGATGCCAAGACATCCAAATGCTCAAAGCACCCTTGAGAAAAGCTGGGTTAAAGTTTTAGGCCCTTCCTTGGGCAAATTTACTCAAATGCTACCAAACCTTTACCCACAGGGACCCCATATCAGGACTTCAGAATGTTCATGACCCCTCTCAATGAAAGCTGTAAGAGTGAAGTAGTGGGGTTATGGGTGTAGGAGCCTGAAATGGGAGAACAGCTATTACATCTCCGCAGCTATCGTGGTCACCAAACTGGTGGTCACAAAATTTCAACTCACGATCCCACTTCAGGTCCCAACTCCCACTTTGGGAAGCCTTAATCAACACCATAACCTCATTTTCCCCTCAAAGGTGCTAACTGGCTTGCTGTGTGTTTGGAAGAAATTACAATTTTCATTCAGATGTTTACATTTCAGATTTCTTCTTCCCTTTGTATTTGCAGTAGAAGGCATTTTGTTTGAGATCAGGGTTTCTGCTTATGCAGAACTGGCGGTAAAAACATTGATGGGGGAATATTTCACAATGGTCATCAAAAAACATAGCCTAGGGTTTCGGTCTTGAAGCTGATTCTGGTGCAGTACTGAGACCGACATGGTAATCAACATGTTGGAAATTTTAAGCATTTAGACACCAATAAATGAGGTGGATGTGTATGTTTATGTGTGTAGCTATGTATGTGCATCCATGTCTGTGTGTGTGTCTCTATGTGTGTGTATGCGTGTGTGTTTATATATGTGTGTGTCTATGTGCACAAGTGAGCAGTGGAGATTAGAGTAAGCAAAAACATTCATTTGTTGTACTGGAAGAACACAGCAAGCCAGGAAGCATCTGGAGGAAAGAAGAAGTCAACATTTTGGAAATTACCCTTCTTCAGGACTACAGAAGGGTAAAATGCTGACTTCTCCTTTCCTCCAGATGCTGCCTGGCTTGCTGTGTTCTTCCAGCCCCTGGTTGTCTACCTTGGATTCCAGCATCTGCAGTTTTTTTTTGTCTCTAACATTTGTCATGCTGTTTTGTTTAAACATTTTCGCTATTGGAGTATGCACGTGTCCAGAGTGCTGGCAGTTGTCCTAATTTTTTTTGTGGATATTATTCTTCCCCCTTGTTTATACTGCTTCATTCAGTGATAGTGACTAATTAAACACAAATATGAGCCACAAGCATGATCTTCTGGCTAGTCCAGCATATCATGAACTTGTGGAAGATGCATCCAACTTCTCCAATCTCACCATTTCCATGATACCTCTTTGAGCTCCCTTCCACACCATATTCACTCAACTGTCATTCCTAGTATCTATGCCAAGTGACATGCTAAATAGTTCACTTCTTTCAGGCACTTTTTGTCTACTCTAAAAACCAAATTCATCAACCCTCTCTTCAAAGACCTTTTGCCATCCTTTTCATTCTCATTCACATTTTAGCTCTTATAATGTCCTCAACTATGTTGTCACCTTCCCACTCCTAAACCTTCCTGTTCAAATTTGTCTAGTCAACTTCCTGAAATTGTCATAACACTGCTATTCACATTGTCTAAATTTGGAATGATTGTTCTGACCAAAAGCACAGTGCTTTGTTCTTCCATGCCCCATCTTTCTGTAAGACTAGCTCAGTTGTTCAAGCTGGTTTCTTTCACACTGGCTTCCTTCTTTTGCCCAGATTGCTGTGACTGCGCCAGCATGTTCCCATTCCCACATAACTAGACATAATCAGTGCATTCCCTGCTTATTTCCCCTTGGTTTCACTTTTACCTCTCTTCCTGTATTTCTAAAGGACATATCCTTCCCTCTTTCATTCTTCATTTAGTTGCTGCCCTTCTGTGCCATGTTCTGACTTGGGCACATTAATGCCAATCTTCCCCTTGTGCCAAGATTCTGCCTGCTTCATAAACTATCAAATTGCTGTAAAGGGGTTAAATAACATCAATGAGATAAGTTCTGCCCATCAGAAAATAAATGACTGTTTCTCAATATTGTGTAGCAATGATGTGTATTTCCTTTTAATTATAACCTGAGGTCTTACCAAAATATCTCATTTCTTCAGATGTAATGTAACTAGCTGTTAGGTATTATGAGATACTGTTTATCAAGATTGAGCATCTTTTCCCACTTGGTATCAATAACTCTGACTATACAAATAAGAAGGATTGGTGGCTGTAAATCTACCCAAGACATCCCAGATGGTTCAGTGGACATGACCACAACAGACACAATGCTGGCAGAGCTGATATTTGAAAACATGGCAGATTTGATTCTCAAAGAAGCAGTAGCTGCAATTATAGAGTTCAATATGTACTAAATTGGGAGAGACTGACTCTGTGAGCTGTGGAGGGGGAAGAAGAGGAGTGCTGAAGGCTGAAAAGTACCTATCTAAAATGGTCAGGAACAATAAGGTACCTAAGGGATGATAACTGCAGCTGGGACTTGGAGGGAAATGGAGGGAAGAATGCTGGGAGAGAGGATGGGACTGAAGCTTTAACAAGTTACCCAAAATTTTGTCAGTGGAAGGCACTCCTTGAAAGTATTGTGGAAGCAACTTCTGAAAAAGTATTGGATCTGCCCAGTCATAGAGTCATAGAATCATACAGCATGGAAACAGACCCTTCAGTCCAACTAGTCCATGCTGACCATGTTGCCAAACTAAACTAGTCTCGCCTGCCTGTGCTTGGCCCATATCTCTCCAAATCTTTCCTATTCAAGATCTTATCCAAATGTGTTTTAAACTTTGTAATTATACCTGCATCCACCACTTCCTCTGACAGTTCATCTCACACATGAACCACTCTCTGTGTATAAGTTCCCCCTAGTTCTTTTTAAATCTTTCCCCTCTCACCTTAAAAATGTGCCCCTTTGTTTTGAACTCCCCCACCATAGGGAAAAGGCCCTTGTCATTCACTTTATCTCTGCCCCTCATGACTTTACAAATCTCAATAAGATCACCCCCTCAACCTCCTACGCTCCAGTGAAAAAATTCCCAGTCTTTCCGGTCTTTTCTTTTATTTCAAACACTCCATTCCCGACAATATGCTGGTAATTTTTTCTGAACTCTCTCCAGCTTAATAATATCCTGCCAATAACAGGGCAATCAGAACTGCACATGGTACTCCAAAAGAGGCCTCACCAATGTCCTATACAACCTCAACATGATGTTCCAACTCTTATATTGAAAGGTCTGAGCAAGGAAGGTAAGCATGCTAAGAAGACTTCTTAACTATCCTGTATACCTATGACGCAAATTTCAAAGAATTGTTTACCTGTGCCCCTAGGTCTCTCTGTTCTATAACACTACCCAGGGCCCTACCATTAATTGTGTAAGTCCTGTCTTTGTTTGCATTACCAAAATGCAAAGATTACAGGGCTATTAAGAAAAGGCTGTATTGTGGGATTAATTGAATAACTCTTTTAGAAAGCCAGCATAATGGTGTTGAATGGCCTCCTTCTGTGATGCTTGAAGATTTTATGAACGTTCTCTTATTTTCTGCTCACTTTGATAATGAAAAAGGTAGCTAGACTATTTTTCTTCTGCAGTAATGGCAGACAGAATAAGAGAATGTGATCCTGAAAAAGCCCTGTGCAAATCCTGGAATCCCCTGCAATGATAACAGAATTTGAGTTATTTAATCATCATAAACCAGTGACCCCGATAACAGCCTCTCTCATATTTCACAGTGAGAGACGATAAAATTAATAATAAAGATATAAAGTAAAAGATTTTATGATGGCGGTTACGACTGTGTGTCAATTTATTCCTTACTGTTATTTTCATAGAGACCTAACTTATAAGAAGTGTGACATGATGCAAAACCATAAACTAGTGGCAAGGATCCTTGCTGAAATACCAAGCACACAGGGTGGACTGACTGTAATATTACAATCAGCTTTTCTGTCAGATGAACTTCTTCAAAACTGGCAGAAAAACTACCATGAACCTGGATTTATTAAATATATTAATACTGAATGAAGTCAGTAGGGATATTTTATTTTTAGTGCTTTATAAATTCTTTTACATTAATTGATATTGTTTATTTGTTAAAAGCAAGCACATCTAATATTCACAGTTGTAAAGTCACCATAATCCTTCTCTTTCATTAGAGAAAGAGAGACACAACCAGTGTTGGTTTAAAGATCATCACACCTCAGTTGAGGAGGAGACTCCTTCATGGTAACCTCAGACAGTGTGGGAATTGAACTCATGCTGTTTGCATCACAAGCCAGCCATCCAGGCAAATGAGCTAACTGATCCCCTCCTGTTTGTACTCTAGGTAGGAGAAGGGAAAGATTTACTCTGTGTTGTAGTATTTCGAAATAAAGTGAAGATTCCTGAATATTACTTGGGTAAATTGTGACTGTGCAATTGTATAAAATCAATGTTAGTAAACCATTAATTTCATGGACATCAATGAGCAGAAGAGCACTCTTGTCTATTTCACACTATTGCACAAAAGTCAACATCTATCTTACTTTTCCAGAGAACACGTAAATATATAAAGAAGAAATTCCTTTGAGGGAAGATTTTCAGAGTTCACATTGCAATTGCAGGAATCTTGCCCATGGATCACAGATGTTTGGAAATCAGCCACATACTGTCCTTTCAGCATGGCACAATGACCTCCAAAAATCAGCCTGTCTATATTTCACTGGATTTATTGAAAAGTGAAAGAACTTACACTGATACAATGCTTTTAGTGATCTCAGAACATTTAAAAGCACTCTCCAGCCAATTAAGTACCTTTGAAGTTTACTGTTGTAATAAAAGAAACTCCTGAAAAACAAAGGTTGGTAGCTTTGTTTTCAGCTGTCGAGGTCCTCAGCTTTCAAATTCCATCTTTAAACCTCCCTGCCGCCCTACCTGCCTTCTTTTCTTCATTTAGGATGCTCCTTAAAACTTTACCTTTTTTGACAAAACTTTTAGCCATCACCTTACGGGGCTCAGTGACAAATTCTGCTTTCTTACAGCTTCCATGAATTGCCTTGAGACTGTTTGTTACATTAAAGGCACTATACCAATCCAAGTTGTCATTGTTGCTTGTGGAGTGGAGTGACTGCCTGTTGTAGAGCCCATCTGATCATTATCCTGTTTGTTTGTTTCTGTCAAGCAGATTTTACAATTGACAGGCAATGGGGCTTGGTCCATTTTCTGGGAAGGGTATTCAGTTTGTTCAAAATAATCCCATGGAGGCAACATTCCTTAGATCACTTGACACAACACAGAAACAATGGATAACCTTCCAGAGCTGTCCAGATTCACTATCTGACCAGTCATTAAGCAGTAAATTGGGGTATGCTTTGTGTATGTTCACTGGGATATTGCAGCTTATAGTAGCAAAGTTACTGATAGCCTAGCACCACATGCCCAACACTTGAACTTTACATTTTAAATTTTCTGACCTTTAGAATTTTTTTAAAAATTTACCTATTTGAGTGATTAGATTCATAAAAACAATAATGTTTCTTATGCTTATTGTCAGATCCCTATTTTAAAAATACGGCAGCCTTCTGAAGTTTCTTGTTTGATCTGAAAAATCACGATGAATTAACCCTCTCCTCACTAAAACTCATGTGACTGTCTATTTCCTTTTTGATGGTTATAGATTCTGCTTCCACTGCAGTCTTTGGAGGACATTACATGTCACAGCAACTGCTCAAGTTAAAAATTAATCTGTTCAGGCATGAATTCTTTGCAACATTAAGTTAATGCTATTTAATACCAAATGTTAGAAACTATTTTTTAATCGAAATCTCTCAGTTTGTCAGTCAGCCAAGAAGGATGTGTCAGCAAACACAATCAAAAAACAGTGTTGTCAGGAACATTTTCTGATCAACAAGAATTATCCTATTATTTAGAATTGTGCAAAATAATTAATTTTTTTAAAAAAAACTTGAATTTGTACCTGTAAGTTGAGAGATAGTTTAATGTTAGATTGGATACCAGAGACCGGAATGGGTCATAGTCAAATTTCTCTTATGATTACTTTTTGATAAAATTTGTTGAGAAAATAAGTATCTTACAAAACTTTTGCTATTAATATGTTTTTTGGTTAACACATTTTTTCTTTAAGTAAGCCAAATGTCTAAAGTTGCCACAGTTCGAATGAAAACTTGTAATGTCAAACCATTTTTTTGTTCTGCAATCATGCTGCATATTAATGACCAATAAAGAAGGACAGAGTCCAAATGTAACTTTACAGCAGCTGGTGTTGTGTGGAACAGACAAGCTTTTTAGTATAATCACGAGGGATTGGTGCAGGGTTAGTAACTATCCCCTCAACTGTTCATCTTGAAAGAAGGAATGTTGAGATCCCAGCTAGGATCTCTGTTCTTTGCTTTTACTCATCCATAGAAATTCACAGAGTATCTCTAATTCCTCCTGTCAGTGACAGCAGAGAGAATTTACACACACTTTCATCTTCATTGGCCTCAGTCCAAAACCATTACCCTCTCAGGAGCAGTTAGGATCAGTTTGATTGGGTAAACAGTGTCTCATTTTCTCCCTGGGGGCAGACAATTCCCATCCTGAAAACTCAAGCAATGACCACAACGATTGGCTTTTTACGGCTATCTATCTATCAGGGAGATGCCGACTGCCAAACTCTCTCCGCGGGCCTCCTTACCAAGTTCAGGCCCAGCTGAGGCCTATCCCAGAAGGCTGCACTGCACCTTGAGTCGCCTTCCCCAGAGTCAGCAATGATCAGGTGCTGGATAGGCAGGAGACACTGAAGTAATTCTCTATCACCTCGTATCGCACACACACAAATACACATAGACTGCTTAACAGACTTTACATTACACAGTCCCTCATTAGTGTGATGGGTAATGGGTGCATCTTAATGAGAGAATGTGTAATATCAAAACAGCTGATCTTTTACTAACGACAAACAGAATGGCTGTCATTTCAAGGGTAAGAAAAAGATGTCACTATATCTGACCAACCTTTAACCCTGGAGAAGAGTTGGAGACCTTTATAATTTTCTATCTTGACACCAAGTGTGTGAGGTCATTATTTAAGCATATTTGTGAAATCACCACAATGCACTTCAAAACAAAAGAATAAGTAATAGGCATATCTTTTTAAAGTGCAATTTATTTATATATTAATTTGGTAATAATGATAAAAGCAGAGATAAAACACTAGCGTATTTATTTTTTGTTATTCGCTGATTCTTTCTGCTACACTGAGGGCACTATTTGATACTGAAGTTCCAACACCTCTCAGGGACACGAACCATGTTGGAAGTGGAACAGTGCTTAGTGTTGATCAGCTGTTTAACCAGGGGCGGCATCATGGCCAACACAAGTCCAATACATAACCAACACACACGCACACACACGCGCGCACACACACACACACACACAACCAGCACACACATACACACAACCAACACACACACACACTTTTTCCAATAGGATCAGGAGCATAAATCCTCAGTGACTTTTATCTCCAGGCTGTAAAGTTTCTAACTCCTAGGTGTCCTGGTCAACACATACTTCCCAATTAGTATCATTGAGAAGAAAATAAATGATCTGGTCATTATAATGTCGTTGTTTGTCATTCCTTGCTGTGCACAATTAGTTACCTTATTTTCTACAATGCAGCAGAGACTGCCATTCAAACGTATACTTCAAGTACTTTGGGATGTCCTAAGGTTGTGGAATAAGCTAGGTAAACACAATGTCTTTCATTGCAATTGCAGGGATGTTAGCCATATGGAAGTATACACAAGTCAGCTTCCTCTGAAGATAAGTGTGAGAGAATTGGGCTGAATAAAATCAGAAACAAGGAGAACAACCTGGATATGAGGTCAGCTAAGACAGGCATTTTTAAAGGGTTTTAACTGATAAAAATATGATAAATGTTCAGAAAATTACTGCAAATTATTTAATAGTTGCAGAAATGGATATGCCATATCCGCTGAGATATTAATCCTCCGGAGCCTGTTCTCAACTGCTCCTGGCTAGAGCCAGCTAAGCGGTTTGATTAGTTCCGCATCAATCTTGTGGACAATGACCACTGATTATTAACAAAAACTTTAATTAGGATGAATGGTTTGATTGCTCCGACCTTGTGCAATTCTTTGTCATTTGTGTTTTTGAAAGGCTATTTGCTGGCTTGTGGGCATTGCAATAAAATGTTATTTATTCTAATACACTCAACACACGCTGCTTTGTGAATAGGAGTTGACCTCTCGTCAAGCAACATTTAACTCTCTAAGCAACGAACTTTTGGGAGCCATTTAAAAGGACAGTGCACGCAATGTTTAGTTGTTTCATTGCAATTCAAGCTTCCTAGATGACTCAATGTGTGAATTCACCAGGTGTTACTAAACCATGCCAATGATAGTTTTTTTTGTTCACTTGTAGGACATGGGCATCACTGGCTGGTCAGCATGTATTGTTTATCCCTAGTTGCCTTTGAGAAGGCAGTGGTGAGCTGCCTTCTTGAGCTGCTGCAGTCCCTGTGTTGTAGGTAAATCTGCAATGCCATTATGGAGGGAATTCCAGGATTTTGATCAGTAACACTGAAGGAATGGTGATATATTTCCAAGTCAGGGTAAAGAGTAGCTTGAAGAGGACCTTGCAGGTGGTGTTGTTCCCATGGATCTACTGCCCTTCTCCTGTTAGGTGAAAGTAGCTGTGAGTTTGTAAAGTGCTATCTTAAGATTTTTGGCGAATTTCTACAGTGCATCTTGTAGATGGTACACATTGCTGCAACTGAGCATTGGTGTCATCAATATCTTGAGCTCAGTTATCAGTCGGTGTAGAATTTGTCAAGCAGTATCTATATACTTAATTTACAGAGAGGAAACTGCTGACCAGTGATCTTGTTATTAAAGTGTCATGCAAAACAAATTTGAGTTTATTTTCAAAGCCATCTAGACTTGCATAGCTGAAAAACTAGGAATGTTAGTAGAGAAGAAAAAAGGGGTGTTTGAAGCATTAAATGGATTCAATACGATAAGCACAGAGAAATCATTTCCTATGGTAGTGTAAATGAAGAATGAAAGGATATTACCTCAAAATTTCACTGAAGCTGTTTAAGATAGAAATCAGGAAGTTCTTTTCCAAGCAAAGGGTCTTATAAATCTGTTATTCTTTCCAGTAAAAAGTTCTGGGTTTTGGGAGACAATGGAATTTCTGTGATTGAGAGATATTTTTGTTAGGGAAGGTTTAATTGATATGGAGCTGGGATGAATAGGTGGAACTGAGCTGTCAATCAACCATGATTGGCTGAAATGCCAGAGCAAGCTCAAGGGCTGAATGGCCTATTCCTGATAATTTAGTGTCATGATAAAGACATGCGTCTCAATTCCATTCCGTTCCTCAGCTCTCAATAGGTTCCATAACTTTGATAACATTAGTGAAAGGTCATGTATTTTTGATTTGATGGGTAATTGTTTTGAGAGGCCTCGCAGTGTATTGAATAGTGTCCCTGTCTTGGAGCCTGAGGCTTCATGTTCATGTTCCACTCAAGGACATGACTGTCAAGGAAGGTTCATCCATAATGTAGCCAAACTGTTTGAGTTCCAAACAGTGGCAAGTAATTACAGTAAAATGGGCAACATCTATCACCTTCAGAATTGAAGCTTTCTTTTAACCTGGCCTCTTTTTTATTCATTCATGGAGTGTAGATTTTGCAGTTTCAGCCAGCATTTATTGCTCATCCTTAGTGCCCTTGAGAAGGTGGCGAGGACCTGCCTTCTAAGTCGTTGCAGTGTATTAGGTGCCAATGTCCCCCTCCACTGACAACATTTTCCGCTTAACTGAACTCGTCCTTACCCTTAACAACTTCTCCTTCAACTCCTCCCACTTCCTACAGACTAAGGGGGTGGCCATGGGAACCCGCATGGACACAAGCTATGCCTGCCTCTTCGTAGGATACGTGGAACAATCCCTCTTCCGCAGCTACACTGGCACCATTCCCCACCTCTTCCTCCGCTACATTGATGACTTTATCGGTGCTCCCACAAGGAGCTTAAACAGTTCATCGACTTTACTAACACCTTCCACCCCAACCTCAAGTTCAGCTGGACCATCTCTGATACCTCTCTCTCCTTCCTGGACCTCTCTGTCTCCATCTCGTGACCACCTCGAAACTGATATCTATTTCTAGCCCACCGACTCCCACAGCTACCTAGTCTATACCTCCTCTCGCCCACCTTCCTGCAAGAATGTGATCCCCTACTCCCAATTCCTTTGCCTCCGCCACATCTGCTCCCAAGATGAGGCATTCCACTCCCGAACATCCCGTATTTCAAGGACCGCAACTTCCCCCCTTCAGTGGTCGTCAAAAACGCCCTCGACTGCATCTCTTGCGTTTCCCGCACCTCTGCCCTCACATCCCCTCCCCGCAATAAAAACAAAAACAGAATC